ACTTCCACTCGTTGTGGAGCATTTATTGAAGGTACATGAGATTTGGTCACTCCTTTATGATCAGTAAATGCATCTGGCAGATTATTTGCTAAATATTGCAAATTAATTATATTTTGAACTTCAAGTTCAGTTTGATTAGTGCGTGGATCTAAATATTGTAGATTTTCTACATTCCAAGAAATTTCTCGGCATTTATTTAAGTTTGGGCTTTTATCTCCCCCTAATGCCGGAAAATTCTCTTCATCGAATATGCAGTCAGCGTACCTAGCTGTAAATTGATCCCCAGTCATGGGCTCTAGGTATTTGAGAATAGACGGAGATTCGTAGCCAATATATATACCTAGCTTTCTATGAGGGCCCATAGAGGTACGCTGTGGTGGTGAGATGGGAACATAGACTGCACAACCAAATACTCGCAGATGGGAAATGTTAGGTTCTTTACCACGCACTAGTTGTATAGGGGAGTAATCATGATATGCAGTAGGTCGGATTTGAATTAGGGCAGCAGCATGTAAAATTGCATGTCCCCAACATAAAATTGGTAAGTTGGAATTTTGTAACAATGGTCTAGCAATTAATTTGATGCGCTTAATGAGTGATTCAGCTAGACCATTTTGTGTGTGGACATAAGGTACCGGATGCTCCACTTTGATGCCCAGTGACATACAGTAATCATCAAAAGCCTTCGATGTAAATTCACCGTCATTATCCATTCTAATAGTTTTAATTTGATAATCAGGAAATTGAGCTCTTAATTCAATAATTTTAGCAAGGAGCTTTGGAAAAGCCTGATTTCTAGTGGACAATAAACACACGTATGTCCATCGAGTGGAAGCATCTATCAATACCATAAAATATCGAAAAGGTCCCGAAGTGGTATGAATAGGGCCACATATATCACCTTGAATCCTATGAAGGAACGTAGGGGATTCAATTCCAACTTTAGTACGTGAAGGTCTCAATATTAATTTTCCCTTTGCACAAGCATCACAAATAAATTCATTAAAAGAAGGGAGTTTGCTGCTTGATATGCTATGCCCAATAGAGTTAGAAATAATCCGACGCATCATACTATGCCCAGGATGACCCAATCGCTCATGCCATAATTTAAATGAATTTGGGTCTTTAAATTTTAAGCTCAATGCAACATGATTAATAGAAGGTCGAATGTAAGTATGGTACAAGCCTGAGGAGAAAGAGGGAAGTTCTTCGACAATTTTCTTTTGACTTCCTTGTGAATGAGTCATTAGAAGATACTCTATATTGTTTTCAGTCTTAGTTTCAATATGAAAACCATTAAATCTAATATCTTTAAAACTAAGGAGTGTTCTTTGTGATTCAGGGTACAAAAGCACGTTGTTAATTATTAATTCGGTACCCTTAGGAAGAGTAAGTAAAGCTCTGCCGGAGCCTACTATATATCAAGATTTTATCATGAGAAATTGTAGAAACACTCCCCTTCTTTTCATTGAAAGTTTGAAAAAATTTCCTATCTTTCAAAATAGTGTGCGTAGTAGCACTGTCGACCAGACATAAAATGCCCTCTTTCTCCATAAGATGCAAACTAATGAATGGTTGTGGTACACTAAAAGAAAAGTAAAACATTGTAAGCAAACGAAGCAATCATGAAGTCTCAATCAAAACATAACGTCTGAAAACATACCAATAGCAAAAACAAACCACAAATGTCTGGCGAAGCAAAAGAAATCAGAACTGTCTAATAGCAAGAACAAACCATGAAATAAAAAAAACCAGTTCTAAGATAGAATGCATATTAATCACACATCATCACCATAGTCCTCGAGCTCAAGCTTCAATAAATCATCATCATCAGCATTGAAAGCTAAATTTGCTTCAGGCAAACTAGCATGATGTGATTCACCTTGAGGAGCCTTTCATTTCTTATCCTTAAGCATTCTTTGATAGGCCTCAACTAGATGTCGAGGAGTACGACATGTGCGGGACCAATGGCCACTGCATCCACATCTATAGCACACTTGCTTATCTTGATTAGCTTGTGGAGCGTCGATGTTGAGATTTTCTGTACGACCTGTCGGTTCCTCAATACCATGACCTCGTCCTCCACCTCGAGTCCAGACATGAATACGACCGCAACTGCGACCGCGACCACGACCACGACCGCGACCATGACCACGACCACCATGGGGTGGCTGGGTATGATATCCTCGACCTCTCCCTCGCACATTATGATGCCCGTGAGTAGTCGCATGTGCTTCAGGCACAGCTTGAGTTCCAACAGGCCTTGCATTATGATTTTTCATCAACAATTGATTGTGTTTTTCGGCCACAAGTAAGGCCGATATCATCTCAGAGTGAGCTGCATAATTTTTAGCCCTATACTGCTGCTGGAGTACAAGGTTACTAGCATGAAAAGTTGATAAAGTTTTTTCAAGCAACTCGGCCTCAGTAATGTTCTGCTTACAGAGTTTCAGCTGTGAAACAATACGATGTAGGGCCGAATTATATTAGTGACGGACTTAAAGTCCTGAAACCGAATATTAAGCCAGTCATACTGCGCTTGAGGGAGAATTATGGCCGTTTGTTGATCAAAGCGATCCTTTAGGGATTTTCAAAGATTGGCGGGATCTTTTTCGGTGAGATATTCATTTTTCAGATCCTTATTGAGATCGTGGCGGAGAAAAATCAATGTCTTTGCCTTCTGGGCAGGAGTGCTTTGAGATGTAGAATTAGTTGTAGCACTTAAGCCGAACGAGGCCAAGTGAATCTCAACATCAAGGGCCCAAGTCAAATAATTACTCCCATCAAGGGCGAGCTCAGCAAATTCTCTTTTGGTGATATCAGACATCTTGCAGGAAAAACACGATTTTTTCTTAGGGCAACACCAATAACGAACTAGAGCGTGCTGATAACGTGTTGTAAATTGGAACTCTTAATCTTCACCAAGCATCCATCAATCAACCAAGCATAAAAGATATGCAGTAAAGAACAAGAAAAGAGAAGCAGAAAAGTCTGTAATTTTATTCATCGGTATTCACTCTTTTATAGAGTTTACAATAGAGAAACCCTAAAACCTAATCCTACTAACTAATGGACTTCAGACCCAATTATATATTAGTAATGTCCATATTAATATATTTATAACAGATTTTACAATTGTTTACAATCCACATAATTATTTAATTTTTGTATTGATAAGATAATTTTAAATTTAGTTTTGAGAAGATTAAATTTGGTCCAATTAGTTGGATCGGAAATTATTACAGTTCATTGGCATGAACTGATTGTCATTGAATCGCCGACCATATCAATTCGATATATTTTTATTGTCTTACAAATAAATTCACTCTTTAAATACATTAGACATTTATGCCACTACGTATTACTATGAAAGAGTAGTGATGGCACCAAGAAGGATAGCTCCAACATTAAAATTTTCCTTTCTCTGCATCTGACTGTTGTTCTTAGTCTTCTTAGTCTGTGTGTGTGTGTGTTTGTTTTTCTCTACTTTTCCTTGCACCTTGGAGTGTCTTCAAATTGAATTATTATGTATTTGGTAAAAAAAATTTCAAGAAAAAAAAATTGATCCATAACTACAACTATAATGTGAACAAAAATTTGATGTTTTATAGTACAACTATATTAGGGCTGGTATTTCTTGACTGAAAACCGAATATTAATCTAAACTGAACCGAAACGAAAATAAGCAGAACCGAACCGACTCTTATGTAACGGTAACCGATAATCGGTTACCGAATATTTATCGGTTCTTAAGATTGGGGTTTATCCAACCGATTAAAAAAAAAGATGTTAGATGATAGATAGACTATTAATTTATTAGGCATTAATAAAATTATATTAATTAAAAATTAATAAATTATGCTAATAAAATGTCTTAATTAAATTACTTGACCCATTCTTATTCACCTTCCTCTCTTTCCCTTTCTCCTTCACCTTCACGTAAATAAATCAGAATTGATTGAGCTTCTGCCTCGACGCGAGTTCACCGTTCATCTCACTTTCGCCTCCTTCCTTCACCTTCACCTCTTCTGTCACTCGACGGAGTCGATTCTCTCACTCGTTGGAGTTGCGATAGGGCTGATATGTAATTTGTAGCGCCTCTTTCGATTGATATAATCTCTCGCATTTTATTTTAATATTGATTGCTTTTATTTTATTATATTATTGTTTGTATTCGATTATTATTATTTGTCTGTGTTTATGTGATTGCTCTCGTTTGAGTTAATTGCATTGCTCTTGTATTATTATGTGATTCCTTCTAGTTTTATTGTTATGTGTATGGCTTGGTTTGAAATAAATTTTATTTATTAGTTTAGTCGTTCGATATTTTTGGTTCTCTAGAATTATGTTCGATCCGTTTCGACCCATCGTTGATGCAATCGCGTCGTATTTTTGGGGCCGTTTTCTAAGCGAGCCCTGAGATTTATACTCGGCCCATTTTTTTTCTATTTACTTTCGGCCCGTTTGGAAGTAAATCAATTCGCCCAATTTAGTTGTATTTTTTTTGGACCCTATCAGGTTATTATTCCGACCCAAACGAATATGTATTTTCGGCCCATGACTTTTGGGCTCCCCTTACGAATTGGAATTTCACTATCAAAAGGGGCCTATTTTAGCATAATTTTTTAGTCCATTTCTAGCCCAAATGACCCATTTTCAGCAACCATAGTCACCTCGACCTTTTATTTTTCTTTTTTCCCTCACGCGTTTTCTGATCGAAGCCCAACTTCAATCTCCTCTCAAATTCTTCCCAAAACCTGGTCGGACCTAAGACGCGCCCCGACGACCTCTGCCACAATCGAGCAGTATCACCGGCGACACCACACCCCCCGACCGTCACCGCGAGCAGTTTCGGTGGCGTCCAATCAGTCGCGATTCGCAGCCGGCGTCCGTAGCCTCTGCCGCGACCTTCATCGAGACCCCACCCACCGCCATATTTTCCGGCAGACGACCTTCTCAGCACGCCGACCAGCCATTTCAGCCACCGCGTCCGCAAGCGCATGACCGATCGCCGCCGTCGCGTGTCCTCAGACGAATCGGAGCCACGCTGAGGAGAGACGAGCTCTCTGGGGTCAGTCCGTCCTCTGTCGTCGAGCAGCGGTTGTTTCCAGTCAAGTTCCGCCGTTGCTGGTAGCAGCCGGCAACCCTCAGCGTGTCTCGTCTCGTCAGCAGGACCTTTGCCGGAAGTGAAGCAGCAAATCCCCGCCGGCTCCTTTTCAGCGAACAGAGACAGCCCATTCCAACGGGTTTCACCGTTGACTTCGAGCAGCCATCTCCCCGTCGGCTTCTTTTCCGAGCAGCAGCAGCCCCGTCGTCCGGCAGCGAGCAGCTGACGACTTACGAGCACCAGCGACTGGCTTCCTTTTCAACGAGCAGTGGCCGGGCAGCAGCTAAACCGAGTCCTTTCTTGTTCTGTTTCTACCCTGGAAGAGGTAAAGCTAGCTGAGACCCTTTAGCTTTCTCTTGGCTGAGATTAAATGTGCTTTTATATGTCAAGTTTCAGTTGCATTAAGAAGTAGATACTTGTTGGAGTTTGAAGAGAAGAGAGAAAGCATGTTTAGTTTGATTTGTGTTGATTTTCTTGATTTCTATGTAAAGTGCTGAGCCTTGATATTGATTGATTATATGCTGCGATTTTGTGAATTCTCATAGTTGTTATGACCATATATGTTGAAGTGGTGTCATTTATATGCCGAGATTTATGTTTTCAATTTGAGAATGGTTTACCTTACCGTAGATTTTGAAGAGAAATTGAAACAAGGTATGAAGTGAGTTTGGCTTTGTTTGAGGGGAGCACGTTGAGCCTTTGCTGTTGTGTTTTGGGGCTATACGAAGGTGCTTTAGTGTGCTGTTTTCATGCCAAATTTATACTCGCAGTTCTGTTAAATGCATGATAGGAAGAGTATGATTATTTGATGTGCTTAAATTGCCTTAATCTAATTTATTTATCTGCCCTACCTGCCTTATTTGCTTTATTTGTTTGTCTAAATTGTTTGTTTGCCTTGTTTGCCTTGCCTGTTTTTGTGCCTTAATCAACCAAATAAAAATCCTTAATAATTATTAAACCCCTAATTTGTAGATTAAGAGGAGTCGAACCCTCGCCCTGGTTTGAACTTGCAGTCACCATTATCCTTGCAGTATCAGGTGGGTAGGTGGGTGGGTGGGTGGGTGTTGATAAATTTACCATGTGTGTTAATTTTTATAAATGCTTGACTTTATAATCAATGTATGCATGGTAGTCTATGAGGCCTAACTCTAGCCTTCGAGACTTACTCCGTCTTTTTCATATCGACGGCTTGCTCGCTCCCGTCTTTTTCGTATCGACGTCTTGCTCGCTCCCGCCATTTTGGTATCGACGACTTGTCCCTGTCTTTGTGGTATTGACAGGTTAGGTGTGATCACATGAGCGTAGAGCTTGTTAGGGGGTAGACTAGGCGATTCTTGTTCATGTTGCGATTATGATTTTACAACACAAGTAAAAATATCAAAAAAAAAAAAAAAAAGTGGATGTTTCCACTTGTGTTGCCAACCTAGTTGTACTCTAGGTTGGCAATGTAGCATTTTCCTTATATTAATTATACTGCATGGTATTCTCACGGTGAGCAAGTGTTCGCTCACCCCCACTATTATCTCTCTTTTCAGGTTGAGCTGGTGGCCGTGGCAATAAGACGAGCGAGGCAGGGTCATTATGTGCTTTTGAACTCTTTTACCTGCTTTCGTTTTATTTATTATCTCTCTCATTGTCAGCATGATTATTAATGTTTTTCTAGAGATTGAACCATGATTGGTTCTGAGAATTATTATGCATGTTTGGGATTTGAACTTGGGGTTTGACTATGTTTGATTTACCGGATTACTTCATATGGTTGAATATCTATTGAAGCATGTTGAATGTTGATATGAAATGAATTATGTTCGGGATGGTTGTTTTCCCGTTTAGTTAAGTGTAATCTTAACTGTTGAAATGTGATTTTTTTTTTTTTTTTTTGAGTAGCGTCCGTTAAATAAACTTTTAAATTGATTTTCGATATTTAACTCTGATTTTGGAAAAATAATTCGACATTTTTCTCTAAAAATAACGGGGCGTTACATTGTGATTTGTCATTCGTTGGAGTTGCGATAAGGCTGGTATGTAATTTATCTATGCTTCAAACTGATTTTTCTCATTATTGTAATATTTTGTTTAGTTGAATTAGTTCTTCTTTGTGTGTAGAAGACGTGATGTGAGGCAATTTATTAATGGGTATGCTTGAATTTTGATTCATACGGGCAAATTTTAGGTTGAAGAATTATGTGATTGTTAGTGGTAGGTTTGGTTGTTTGACAGTGTAATATTTCTGAAATTTAGAAATACTAAGGCCCCACGGAATTGTATACTTGTATGCTTATATAGTTATATTATCTCCCTTTACTTTTTCTCATATGAACTAAAGCAGTGGAATTACATGCATCTAAGGACTGCTATGTTTTAGTTTTCCATCGTTATTTAGCTGACTGGTATTCACATTTGTAATTTTCTTATATTGTTATATTAGTTTCGGCCTGCAGACCCCAGCCGCTGACCGCCGTGTTCCGGCCAGGACGTTCTGAGTCTCCGAGAATTCCAAATATGGTGTATTGATCGATCTCATCCTGACCAGGGCACCTTCAGGTGTGTGCAGAAATTTCTAAGTTTGAACATATGGGTTTTCTTTGTTGACTAGAAAGATCTCTCTCTCTCTCTCTCTCTCTCTCTCTCTCTCTCTCTCTCTTTTAATGCTTGAATTAATGTTAAATTTCTTGTTTTAGTGGTTGTCGCAGCTGATTAAAACTTCAATTTAGGATATATATTCAAGGTGGGTGGTTTTAATAGCTTAGGCTGAGAGTAGCTTAGATTGATTTGAGGGATTGATAGCTCCTCGGTTGAAACGTATAGTAACTTTATGTACGACTGTTTGGGGAGAGCCGTTGGATGTTATAGGACTCGTGGGGTGGTTTTTACCCTCTAAACATAGTTGTTAGTTATGAAAGAATTCACAAAATTAGTAGCTTGGTGCCTTTCTGTATGTTGATGAAAGAATTACCCAAGAATCTATTTTTGTTGTTTACGTTTAAAAGGCAAAGCTCACGAATCCGTGCCGTTGTCCATTTCTGCAGCAGCTTTGCTTTCGGTTTTGTGCAGTTTCCATTTCGACATTGTAACATACAAGTTGCTTCTTGGAGTCTTTGTAAGAGTTATAACCCGGTGTCTTACTTTTCATGCCCTCAAGAATCTGTTTGATATTCTAGTTTGTGGATTAAAGTTTGTTGAAAATACCAACAACATGCAAAACTGCAGTGTAATGGTCGTATATTTGTGTGCAGCATGTAACCCCTTGCTTCCTCTCGATTTATCTCTTTCAATTTTCCAATTCCTTATGAAATTATTCATTTTATTATTTGCTCATGGTAAACCTTGATCTGATTCCTCCTGCGAATATGTACCTCCACAAACTAGACCAATGTGGTAGTTATTTTCTTTTTTTAACCGAACTTTGAAAGGGTTATATCTGCTAGAAGAGTTCACGACAATTTTTTTTTTTCTCTAGTTTAGCAATTAATTCTCAGAATCACTTAGTAATCCTTGATTTTTACCATGTTTCAGGCCGACGTGCAAATGGAAGTTCGAATAGGAAATTTCATGATACAACTTGTACTTATATTTCTTATCACCATTGGATCTACGAGTTATGTGAGTGGGAACATTGACCTTGTTCCTTGCTTTATTGTTCAGCTATGGGAATATTGAGATTCTAAGATTTTAGATAGCTTTTTTTGTTTTCCTTTTTCCTTTTTTTTTTTTTTTTCATTTTGACATTGAACATTATAATTTTAAGCAAATAAAAGTTTTTGGTGATATTGTATTCCCTTTTTATATTCTGTAAACTCAAGTTGGTTTCTGCAATTTACATTTGCAGGGACAGACGGATTACCTGGACCGATACATAGCAAAGAGTTATTTCGAACAATATGATACTTTAGTAAAAGAAGAATTCAACAGTTTCATAGCAAATGAAATTCCACTTGGATTGTCCCGCGTAATTGAAGATAAAAACTACATTTTGCCCAAACTGTCCAGTCTACATCGACTCGTAATTGGTGAAGGCTCTCATCGTCATTTGTCCACTTCTCTCAGATTTAAGTTGCAACGTAAACTTAAATCCCATTTGACTGCACAGTCTTGTGAAGTCATAATCATTGAAAGACTGCCTTCCGGAGTCTTTGCAGATCCTTTTGAGCTGCAGCATCTTGTCGAACGTGGTGGTATATGAATGCAGAATACTACAATTCTAAAACCCAGTTTTATTAGCATCCCCTCAAGATATTGAGAATCCATTAATCGCCTTTTTGTGCTTTTTCGACTTTGCAGTGTTCACTGATGCAGCCGTATTTGGTGACAAAAATTTAGAATTACCCTCATTTCGCTCAAATCAATCGGTCGTCGAGATACACATGAGCATAGCTTCTAAAGTACTGTCAAAAACCGAGGATGATTCAGAAGTCAACTTGGAACTTCCTTTACATGCACGATATCAGGTAAGCTGTTTGCGAATATGGACTTTGTGCAAGTATGCTAAAATTGCTTAGTAGTTCCACTTTTTTCTCGATTTTTGGCTGCCTTTAGAAACCTAAGTCCGATTTTCATCCAATGCTGGATAAGATTGTTCCCAAACTCCTCAGTTTATGTTCATCGGATATTGAAAAGCTAGTTTCTTTCTGGGCACTATGAATCTTTTTATATAAATTTACGTCAATTCCATTTCCCTTCGTTTTGTCATTTTAATTTTTTCTTGGTGTTCCAGCCTTTAGGACATGGCTTCTCGAGGGTCGAGTTTGGGCAACCCGATGTGTTTATCTGCTGCGGCCTTAAGCTTAAGGTGCCTGATATGAACTGTATGCCCTTTCCTATTAGCGATATGCTGCAGAATAACTGTAGCCCCGTTATTTGGGAAATACCGTGTGGGTCCCATGAACATGCAGGGCTTGTATCTGCTGTTACTTTTGGATTCGCAATTGTTGCTGCTATGATTATTGTCTTGGTGTCCGTTTGTTATTCGGATGGTCGAACATCGAACAAACCAAAACTATCTTGATTTTTGTTATAGATTGTTTCCTTTTCTTGATGCTAATATATTTGCTCTCCTTGTACTGTAAAAATGGAATATGTTTTTTGCTGAGGCAGTAAGTTAACATTGATTTTTAACAGATTGGATTGTTTGTGGTGTGTTTATCAGATTTTACTTTGTTAGTCAAAACCTTTAAAGTGGTGTTGTCTCTAAGGTTTGTCGTGAAAATAGTAAGAAATCGAGTGACTGACACTTATTTATAAAAGCAACAAGCTTTGTTGAGGCGGCCTAACCGTTAGGCGGGTTGACTAGTCGTAAGTTCTCAACAAAAATGAATATTTATGTTAGGAAACGTCATACTTTTGTTTATATTGTTTTTTTAGAGGTGTTTTTTTAGAGGTGTGACATTTTAGTTGAATGTTGAAAACTATGCTTACCCAACTGTTTTTAACTTTTTACATGTAGCTAACTTACCATGATGAAGCTTTAGTTATTTAAAAACATAAAAATTATCGTTCGTAGTGAATGGTTTATAACGGATTATGGGTTTTGCAGTTGGAAAAATTAGAACTTGACCATAGTTGATGTTCATTGTTCTATGTATTTTGTTCTAGGATAAATTTGTAGCTTAAAATGTTTCCAAGACATGAAATTATTTGAGATAGAAAGCAAAATGCGATCGACACTTTGTTTTGCTTTTGTGATGCATACAACAAGGTGTAGCCACAGCATATTACCTGGTCTGAATGCCCTTTTGATGGAAATTAGCACATCGATTTTGATTAAGATGCTTTTTCTTTTCTTTTTTTTTTGATTTGATTGATCGAGGTTTGTTTTTCTCTAAGGATTGTACTCGAGCCAAATTTTCGTTTCATGATGAATTTGCAGTGTTGTAGGAATATAGATGTATATAAGATTTATGACAGATGCTCGATTAGTTCATCTGAAATTAGAATATTTGCTTTCTCAGAAGTAAAGTGTCTGATATCATATCAATACAAGTATATAATATAATGAAATGTGGCAATTGTCTGTAGAATTAGTCGAACCTTAGAAACTAGTGTATCAACAGACTCCAGGTTGTAATGGTTTTACCAAGAAAAGTTTTGACCCAATAAGTGATCTCATTGCAAGTTTTACCATGTGATTGCTCTTACAATTTTCTTATTTTATCTCGTTCGAGATTCGACTCTGTTATGGTTTTCGTTGGCTGCCACCATTACTGCCTCTGTTCATAGGTTCTCTGTTATGGTTTTCATTGTCTGCCACCATTACTGCCTCTGTTCATAGGTAGCATTCGACACGGGTTTTTCTTAAGCGCTTGGAATGTGAGCTTATTCCGGGATCGTGCTTTTCTCGTCTTTTCATCATGCCTTTAGCATTTATGCTAGTGTTGCATGCTTTCAGTCTGGCCTTACAGTGGTTGGCATTGATGGAGATTCAAAGTTATGAAATGAGATGTAATAAATTGGAACGTGAAGATTAACTTCACTTGGGCACAACTGATGTTAATTTAAGGATTTTCTGACTGCAACTCTATTTCTGGCCATAAAAACCTACTAATTCAAACACAACAAAATATTACAACTAAAAAAAAAAAAAAAAAAAAAAAAAAACGAAAATCAGAGAGCTCGGAAGGAAGATTGAAACGGTAAGTAAGCATACAAATTTCAAACAAGCTGTAAAAGTGGTACACTTTATATGTGCAAGCAAAAACATAGAGATAACATTACTTGACACCACCAAATGAATTGTTCCAACTTTTTTTCAATTAGGCCAAGGACACGTTACACCCTAACAGTACATCATAAACCTACCACATGATAATTTCAAAAACAAACAAATCAAACCTTCTCCGAATCCGACGTCAGCAGCCCCATCTGCTCCGTCAGCCGTGCCACGTTCTGCTTCGTCTTGTCCCACCCGTTTTCCTCGGGCGGCCTCGTTTCATCCCCCGCCGCAGCCGCAGCCGCAGCCGCATCCTCCTCCGGACCCACAGGACCCTCAAGAAACTTTTCCCAAAACGGGTCGCTAACCCCCGGAAGCTCGGGTATCTCGTCCAATAAGTTGGCCGCATCCCACTCCATATGAGGATCGGGTGAAAGACCCCCGATATCGAACGGCATCCCATCCCCCTCGGGTGGCGGCACCACCATCTGGGAAAGCTCCGTCATGATCGAGTCGTCCGTCGGCGGCGGTGGCGGGTGGATTCCGGCTGCCGGAGGCGGCAGCTCCGGCGAATGGACGTCAGTAATCGCCGCCAGCGGGACCACCTCCTGAAGGGTCAGCCCGCCGGAGACAGCCGGCGGTGGGCTATCCTCGAGCCGCGGGGAGGAGTCGAGCTTCATGATCTGTCGGAGCATGGATTTGGCCGCCTCGTTCATCATCGGCTGGTACTTAACAATCTGCTGTTGTCCATCGGCCACCGGCGAGCTTTCGTCGCAACTTTCATCCGGCTTGAGACGCCTCTTCTTGTTGCCCTCGGTTATGCGGCGTGCCCCACCGTCGGGCGGCGGCTGCTGCATGAATTGGGCCAGGAAGCCCGGGCTGTTGACGGCTTTAGCGAGAAAGGACATCATTTGCTGTTGGCGTTGTTCCATGCCCTGGAGCCGCTGGACCATTGCCTGAAGCTGGCCATCGGTCGTTTGCTGCTGCTGCCGGAGACGGACGAGCTCCTGCATCAGAACGTTTTTGTCCCGTTTGAGCCTCTCCACCTCTTCCTCAAGCCCAAACTTGCCGACCTCCACGCAAGGACCGGCCGAGCTCTGCCCGTTGGGCGGCAGTTGGTGGTGGTGGTGGGGAGGGTGGTGGCCGTGAGCGGGTTTCCGACGGCTGATGCCTTTGAGGAGGTGCTTCTGCCCGCGTAAGAATCCTTCATTGGCAAACTCCCAGCGGTCGGGATCGACCTTTTTGAAACCCTGTTTACACATACGGGACAAAAAAAGAAAAATGACATGGTAGGAATTAACAGAGATTGCTTGGGAAAAATAAAGTTTGTTTTGCGAGATGAACAGAACATTTCAACATTCGAAACTAAATTCAACAGCAGACAAATGACCATGAGCTCCTCACAGGAAAGGTGTTTTCAATTCTCATTCTTTAACCTTTTTTAAGGATAATAAGTACGAAGGAGTTTCACAATAAAATGCAGACATCATGTTATGGACAATTCTTTAGACCAAAAAAAAAAAAAAGGTGGCAACATATCAAAATTGCACTGAACAACGGGTGAATGATAGGAAAACAGCATGTTGGCATGCTTCGCAAGTTTCTCATGAACGTAGTTGGGAATGGAAAGTAAAGTTCAGCTAATTGCTTTTCTTAACCTAAATTTACTGCGGAAGTCAGAGATGAAAAAGTAAAGCCTCGAATCCTCTAATCTATAAGACATGAAGATATACAAAACAGAAGTAGCAATCAGTAATTTCAATTCGCTACATTAAGCTCGTGGAACAAAAAACTGTCTCGGCATTGCTGCTTCAGAATAATAGGCCTCAAAAGTTTATTCTGGTACCAAAGGATAAGCTCTGCAAGTTAAACGGAAAAATTAACCTTCAAATGCACTGAACCATTTCCTTTCTTCAGCAAAGCTTGAGAAAGAAAAGCAAACTTCAGTTCAAATAAAAGGGCAGTAGTATTTCATTGTTACCAGTATTTCACTGATACTGCTTACATAAAAATACTTCCAGTCTTGATCCTCATGGTCCCTTTTCTAATTAGTAAAAGTCAACTCAACTGGAGCGTACTAAAATGAAAGTAGTAGAAGAGCTTGACACAATATTGTTTGAATTTTTCTCCAATATATTTACAATTTCCAGGGGCTCAGTTCCATAAGCAAGCACATGTTATCACGATACTCATGGTTAAGATTAATATTGGTAAGCTCTAAGTCCTTTCAACGGTAATGCTACCAACATAAGAGAAATCTGGAACTGAACCATATATTTCCAAGTTCTTATTAGATTTCTCCTAACTGGAAATTTGCTACATGTTGAGAAAGCGTAATAACTAATAGAGAGTACATTGTCCAAATCTAATTACTCTCTCAAATAGTTTGGGCTGATTTGAAATATAACTAAATATTTGGAACCAAATGCTCATGACTTTCACCTACCGACCAGAAGTTTCCTACTATGACTACACATTTCAAAGCTACTATATTAAAACTAAAAATTCAACTTCCAGATTTCATTTTGTAAACACCAAATGGAGTTTTCAGAAACTGGGCATTCAATCCTATCCAGGTAGAAAGCATTTGGGGCAACACTTACCGTCCATACATCCTTGCAAGACTAAAACTAGCTCAAAAAACGGCATAGTGCAAAAGATCTTCCAAGACAAGTATGTATACCATAGTGGTCAAACTTAGTAGCCTTATCCTAGTCTGCCTACCAGATAAATAATAACCTATGTGCAGCTCTTTGATTCCGCTGGTCTGCAAGGAAGCACTATTTCATAACAAACAGATAGAGACCCAAGATTTCTTAGTCCCGCAACACCATACAACTCCCACATTAAATATATAACTTTCGATACAAAAAAACATCAACCAAAATATCACCGCAATCTCTGCCATCTGCTAAAAAATATGAAAAACTAGTTAAAAGATCAGTCATTCACTGCTTCTTAAATCAAGTCGTGCACCTACGCTTTCTTCCTTAAAAATAAAAGAACTGTACTCCTCTGTTAAAAGCTTAACGATAAGCACCTCTGCCTCAAACGCCCCCACTCGAAAGGCACCTGCCTTTGCACCGGCGATAGCCTCACGTTCTCCTTTAGTAACTAAGCATCTATCTGATTCTGTCCCTAAACAAACAGAAAAGTTTCCCCAACCCTAGGTGAAAGATGGCCATGACACTTACAGTAAAAACATTCAAAATGAAAGATACGATACATGAACATAAACAAAAAGACATCTCTTGGTTGTATGCTGTCCTTCCCTACAAAAGAATGATGGTTCGGATATGCATGGTCCCTACAATCAACACATTCAAACAACTAGAGCTTTACAGTATAGAAGAATATAAAACCAAACTAGAAACAATAACTAAACTCCAGGTACTATTCAAAACACCTTCAGGAATGTCCAGAACTGTGTAGCACCCCGTGCTTTTTTTCAAATTTCCAGCAAAACACAGAGCTAACCATTACCATCTTAGCTACGTATAAGTTGGAGACTGCGGAAATTCACGATTAGTCTCATGTCTGTACCTAAAAGCCTAAACTCAAAATCAATATCCGTAAGCTGCCATTGGAACATTCAATCAACTTCATCAAAACTTAAAAATAAAAAAATAAAAAAAAAAACCACAGTATCAGATAGCAGAAGCGTGGCATGAAATGCTATCGTGATATCTACATAGACAAGCACTGCCAGATCAAACACCTTTAATAATCCAAATCACACAAAAACAATTATTCAAACTTCATATCATCAAATACATCTTCAGGAAGCAAACAAACCTCAAGTAAGAACAAGACAAAAAAAAAAAAACTACTCAAAGTAGAGAGAAAGTAATGAAAACAAGAACATACATAGGTGTTGAGCTGGCGAACGAAGCTCGAAAAATTGTTGTGCTTGAAGTACTTGGGCAGCAAGTCTTTGGCAAACTCCGCAGAGTCCCACACGACGAACGTGTTGTTGTTGGGGCCCCAGGACACTATCTTGTCCGTGCCGGGGTCGTCCACCATGTCGTACGTCTTCACCAGGAACGGAGGCGGCGCGTTCGCCACCGGCATCGGTGCGGGCAGCGGAGCGGCCACTCCCCCGTCGCCTCCGCCGCTGGTTGCAGCCGATTTTGCGGGCGCGGCCTCCATATCAGAGCACTAAATTAAACCAAAAAAAAAAAAAAAACTAGAGATCATTGAACCAGCATTACAATGTATAGAATTCAATAAAGGACATGATTGGACTGATTATTGGGGATTTTCAGTAGTTTGAAATAAGCAGAGGGAAAAAACCCTAGAAATGGGAAAATAAAATTGGGATATTGTTGTGTAGTGGAAAATAGAGTTTTAATATGTGACCTTTTTATTTTGTTTTTGTTTTTCAGACGAAAGGGAGAGCGAGTGGTTGTACGATTCACAGTAAGAATAGGGTAATGATGACTAATGACGAGAAAGAATTTGGGGGTGAGTTTTTTCTGAGGGTAGGAAATGACGACATTGCCACTAGTCCCGTAGTCCGCATTTTTCTTTTGCATTTTTTTTTTCTGGATTGCTATTTACCGCCCCCCTATTACTAGTCACCGCCCCCCCCCAATT